CCCAAAATCAGAAACAAAAACATTAAAAAAAGATCTGGGAACAACCAATGTTAACAGGAATCGGTGAAGAAGGAATCCTCATTCACTTCATGGGGATATAATCTGGCTCAGTCTACAGGATAAACAGTAGAGACTTCTCAAAAAATTGAAAATAGAACTACCATATGTTCTAGTAATTCCACTCCTTGGCATCTCTCCCAAGAACACAAAATCACTTAACTGAAAAATTATGCACACCTATGTTCATCAGCCAAGACCTGGAAACAACTTTAAGTTCCCAACAACAGAGGAATGGATAAAGACACTGTGGTGATGGAGAGAGAATACAGCGGTTAGGGCACTTGCCTTGCACATGGCTGACCCTAGTATAGCTGGCAGTGCTTACACTCCCCAGAGTACTGCCAGGAGCCCAGAGTACAACTGGATGTGGCCCAGCCCTCTTCCTCAAATAAGACTCTACAAATAAGTATCTTTTGTGCGGAGGTAGGTATGCCTATGTCGTAAGAGTAGGATGAGCTGCTATTTTTTGTGTGTGTGGGATCATACAAAGCAGTTCTTTTGGTATGCTCAATGGTCCTTACCTGCTATGCTGATGGAGCATGCAGTGCTGGGGATTGAACCCTGGAATTGATTTCTCAGGTCCTGGATAAGGTTCTCTAGGGTCGACTCATTCTTACAGAAGAAAATGCAATTTTGGAAACACTGGGGAATATGTAGTAAAAGCAGCATGGTTAAGGCAACTTGGCTGTCGAGGACAAAATAGTTAGGAGGAAAGGGAGGTGTGTGGTAGATTATAGGCAGTTAATGACAGAGCATCAAGTTTATTTAAGATCTTGTTAGAAATACTGGATCTTGGGTCCAACCAGACCTATGCAAACCAAATTTGAATTTTAGTTACATCTTCAGCTGGTTCCTATTAAAGTTTAAGAGTCACTACAGGCCTAGGGCTGACTCAGGAACCAAGCTGTTGAAGTTTAAGTCTTGGCTTTACTTAGAATGTGTGACTTTGGTCAAACCCCTTAGCTCCATTCTATGCTTCATTTTCCTAATTTATAATTTGGGCTACTACTTCATAAGTAATTCTTTGCACTATGTGAAATGCTCAGAGTAAGCCTGAGGATCTCTCTTGATTCATGCTACTTTTTATGGTTAGGCTTGTTTTATAAGCAGCTCGTCCTTTCCATTTTTTAATTACCTTTTCATTTATGGTTGTGATAAGGACAAAAGCTGGAAGACCTGGGCTTATAGAGCCGAGCTCTCTTTAATATGCAGGTTTGTGAAATCGGTTGAATTCTTGAATGTTTTTCTCACTGGCAATAAGGGAGACTATCTGCCTCACTGCTTTGCTGTGAGACATCAGAAAAAGTATGTTGAACTAAAGAGCAATTAAAAATTTCTTCTGTAAAGGTTGGAGAGATAGTAGGGATAAAGGGAGCATATCTTTGAGACCCAGGTTTGAATCTTTGACACCGCATATGAGCCCTGAGCATGGAGCCAGGAATAGCTCCGAGCACCTCCAACATTTCATCTACCATGCAAAATTTCTTAATTCGTTAGAATACAGGCAATACCCTTAGTGGGAAAGAAATGGAAGAAAACACATTGGAAGATCAGGGTGGGAGTGCCTGGAGATTATGTACTCCTTTTACAATTTACTGTAGATGTGGGTTTGAGTTTTAATAATAATTTCCCTGTACCTCAAAGTGTTTTTCAGCTAATGGGCAAACAGTATAGGAAATTTTAATGCTGCTATTTTCTTTTTTAATACTATAGCTCCACTGAATAGAACGTAGAGTTTCACATATTTGTATAGTGTACCACACTTCAAAAATCCCTTAAGTTGTGTATCACAACATTCACTTTTCTAGGGTACTATTAACCTCTTCTCTCTCTCTGTTTTTGGGTGACATTGGTGGTGCTCAGGTCTTACTCCTGGTGAGGCTGGGGTGCCAAGGATCAAACCCAAATTGGCCACATGCAAGGATGTACATCCTGTACTCTCCTTTCCACCCTCATATTAACCTCTTTACGCAATTTTAATACCAAAAAGTTCCCCTCTGAAACGTTCATAAGCATATGAAAAGATGCTCATCATCATTACCATGGAAATAAAAATTAAAACTACAAAGAGGTGGGGGCTGGAGAGATAGCACAGTGGGTAGGGTGTTTGCCTCGCATGCGGCCCACCCGAGTTCGATTCCCAGCATCCCATATGGTCCCTTGAGCACCGCCAGGAGTAATTCCTGAGTGCATGAGCCAGGAGTAACCCCTGTGCATCGCCAGGTGTGACCTGAAAAGCAAAAAAATAAATAAATAAATAACTACAAAGAGGTACCACCTGCAATGGCTCACATCAAAAACTAAAAACCAAAACAAACAAACAAAAAGAAAATCAACAACACACAAAAAACAAAACAAAAATCAAAGTTGAGAGGGTGCTGAGAAAAGGATCCCTCAGATAACTGTGGGAGGATTTCAAATGGGAGCAGCTGTTTTGGAAAAAGCTAGACAAAGCTACCACAGGACCCCCAAAACACCCACTTCAAGGAAGAATATGAAAACACGAACACAAAAATGTTAGGTCATCACCAATGTCTACTGCAGTATTTTAGGCAATATTTAAAATACGAAAACAAGGAAGTACTCCTTAACAGATGACTAGATAAAGGTTGAAAAACATGCCGACAAGATTCTAGTCAGCAACATAAATAAATTAAAAATTTTTTGTTATGGGTCTCATCAGTCTGGTAAACATGACTTCCAAGGTGGCTCCATCTCAGAGGGCGGTAGGGCTGTCTCTGAAAGAGAGAAGCCTGAAGAGGATCACTATGGCAGAGCACAATCTACAGAACAGCTGGCAGCCTTGAAGGAACACCATGAAGAGGTGCCTGTTCATGAGAGGGAAATTGAGTGTCTGCAGAAAGAAACAAGACCCACCCCTTAAAGCCACACAATGACGATGAAGGTGAGGTGCACAGTTCCCTGTAGAATGGCTGCAAATCACTGCCCCCTTTCTGTGTAGAAGTTCTGATTTAACTTCTCATATAGATGTGTGCTACTGATAAACTAATAAATCAGCACCAGCGAGGAAAAAAAAAATCTACGAAGCCAAATGGAAGGAGCACAAAGGGGATTATACGAAGTCAGAGGTCAAAGTATTTTTGGGAGACTTCACTCACATGCGTCATTTGAAGAAAGACAGAAAACAAATAGATGAATGAAAAGCCAAAAAAACCGAGTAGCCAAGGCGACGTGAAGGGAAATGGCTGGGGAGCGGAGAGCAAAGGTGAGTAATGACAAAAGGGGCAAAAACGTGCCAGAGTCACAAAATTAATATGCAGCAAAATTAAAGGCAGGACTCAAATTCAAGGGCAGACATCTAACTCGCAATATTCGCCTCGGGTGTGGGAGGCCCTGGAGGTTTTCCGCAAAAACAAACAAAACACACACACACACACCCGCGAAAACAAAACAAAAAAAAAAAACACTCCCCCCACCCCGATAAAAAACAAGAGCCAAGAACAAGACAAATAAAAAATACAGGATTCCAACTGTTTCTCTCCGTTGTCCTCATTCGGAAGCCCTACCCCGTGCTAGCCAAAGTCCTTGTGAGAGAGGGACACAAGAACACAACGTGGTTCCGTCTTCTACGCGGGAGACGTAGGGCCGTGTGGCCTCGGCTTGAAATTAAAAAAAAAAAATCAATTCTACGATGCGTGTAATCGAATTCAAAGGGATCGAGGACTTGCGGGTCCTCCTGAAACGGACACTGATGACTTGCGTGTCCTCCTGAAACGGACACTGATGACTTGCGTGTCCTCCTGAAACGGACACTGATGACTTGCGGGTCCTCCTGAAACGGACACTGATGACTTGCGGGTCCCCCTGAAACGGACACTGATGACTTGCGGGTCCTCCAAAACAAAACCCCCCTCCTTCTGACTGGAATGATCTCAACCAGGTTTCATTTCCCAAGAACGTTATCAGGGAAGGCGCTGAAGCTTGCTCCAGCCGTCCACCAACAAACCCCAGACCCGGCGCTTTTCTCCTCAGCCAAAGCGTCCGGGGTCCACACCGAACAAAGGCGGCGGCGGCGACGGCGTCGTGAGGGGGTGTGGGGGGGAGAGGCAGCGCGTCGCGCGAGCTCTCGCTACAAACCCTCCCGCCCCACCCCCCAAACCTGCCTGACAGGCGCGCTGAGAGATCAGCTCTCGTTCCCGCGTTACCACGTGGAGACCCCACGTCAAGGACCCCCGCCCCCCGCCCCCCGCGAGCCCTTTCTCTACTTGCAACACCCCGCTCGGGCGACCGAGGCGTCCACCAGGTCGGTCCGTCCTCCTTCCACAAGCCGTTGGAGGCGGCCGGGAGCCCTCGCACGGGTCTCGCTCGTTCCCGAGACCCTGAGGAATCGACCCGATGCTTCCTCAGCTCTTCCAACGCCCCTCAGGCAGGCGCCGCGCTGCTTCTCCCACCGCCCCCGCCGGCACCGAGAGAAAAAGGTCGCCGCCGAGCCACCGCGCCAGCCGCCGGCCGCCATCTTGGCCCGTGACGCGCGGACGCGGACGCCGCGCGCCCGCGGGCCGCGCCGCCGATTGGCCGGTGGCGGGTGGGCGGGGCCGGGCGCGCGCCGCCGATTGGCCGGTGGCGGGTGGGCGGGGCCGGGCGCGCGCAGCCGATTGGCCGGAGGTCGACAGCCAGGCGAGGCGCGCGAAGCCCGAGAAGGAGGGTTTGCCGGCGGCCCGGAAACTACCGTCCCAGCGTCCCTTGCGCGCGCGACGGCGGCGCCCGGAGAAAGCGGCCGCTGCCTCGGACCACAAGTCCCGGCGCGCCCCGCGACGCCTCGCCCCTCGCCTTTCCTTCCCGAACGCCGAGACACGGACGGGGGTGGGGGGACGATGGCGGCCGCGGGCTGCCCGCGGCCCGAAAGGCGGGAAAGGCGGACTACAGCTCCCGGCCGGCCGCGCGCGCCCGCGCCTGCGCCCTGCGCGCTGCCGCCATCTTGCCCCTTCTGAGGCACCGCAAACAAACCCAATTCCTGGTGTCCCCCTAGTCGTGGCGGAGGAGCCTTTTAGATGAGCCCCGAAAGGCCGGGCAGGTGGGTGACCCTCGGGCCGGCTGGCGGGGGGCGCTGGCAGTGGCGGGCGGGGCGAGGCGCTGCCCGGGGACGGGACGGGCGTCCCTCGGCGCCGCGGGAGCGGGGGCGCCCAGCCCCTTCCTCCGTTGTCTGCTAACGGGACCGTGGGGGGCTGCCCGGGGTGGGCCGAGCGCGGGACCCGGCGCACCCGGGTGTGCCGCTGTGGCGCTGTCCGCGCGCCGCCTCCTCTCGGTCTCCCCGCTGTCGGCGCCGCCGGGAGGGCGCGCGGGGCGGCGGGGCTGCGGGGCTGCGGGGCGGCTCTTGTTGTGGTGCGGCCGGCGAGCGTGCGCGCGGGGCGGGGGCGGGGCGGCCGGGTCCCCCCCGAGCGAGCGAGCGGGCGAGCGGGCGAGCGCCCGGGGCCGAGGGGCTCGGCCGGCGGGGACGCGGCGGGATGCTGTGACGTGGTGCGGGCTCGGCGGCGAGCGGGGCGGGGGGCGGGGACTGGCGTCGGACGGGCCGCCCGGCCGGCCGGAGCGGGGCGGCGCGGCGCGGCGTCCTGGGGCTCGGCCCCCTCTCCCCCGCTCCCCCCACCCCTTTCCTTTATGTCATTCTGCCGGCGCGCGCGGGCCGCCGCTCCTCCGGGCCGCCCGGCTGCAGGGACGCCGGCAAGGGGCGGGCTGGGGAGGGCGCGTCGGAGCCCGCCGCCCGCGCCCCGTTGCGGGATGCCCGCGCCCGGCTCGCGGCGGCGGCGGCGGCGGCGGCGCTCGGCTTCCGCCCCCGGGGCGCCCGCTGCTCCGCGCCCCGAGCCCTGGCGCGCGCTCCTCCATTCATTCCGCGCTCGGAGCGCATCCGGGCGGCCGCGGGGCCACGGGGGGCCGAGCAGGTATTGTGTCCCCTCGCTGGCCGCTGGCTGGCCGGCGCGGGTGGGTTGGGTGTCTCCCTCCCATCGCTGGCGCCGGGACGCCCTCTCTCCTTTTCCCCGAGGGGAGTCCCCGGCAGAGGGGCCCGGACGGAGGAGGGAAGTAGGACGGTTGCAGGACAGACCGGGCCGAGTTCCTCACTGGTGATGCTGTAGACTGGAGGAGAAAGTTCTCTGCTTTGGTCGTATTATTAACCCGCGTTAACTCATGTAAAGCTCGCTTTCCGTCGTTGATCTCATGTGACTCTTATTTTTTTTTTTTAATTTTTATTTTATTTTTTTTGGTTTTGGGGCCACACCTAGCTGGCAATGCCCAGGGGTTACTCCTGGCTCTGCACTCGGGAATCACTCCTGGTGGTGCTCGGGGGACCATATGGGGTGCCGGGGATCGAACCCAGGTCGGCCGCGTGCAAGGAAAACGCCCTACCCGCTGTGCTATCGCTCCAGCCCCTCATGTGACTCTTACGAGGGAAAGGCCACAAGAATTCAAGGAACACCCAGGGTCGCCCAGGTAGGAAGCAGCACCAATGTGTTCAACCCCCATCCGCCACTTTGCTAAGAACGTCACCTCTGGTGTTCTTCAGCCCTCCTCCTGAACTGGTAGTTCCTCTGTTTTTCGGATGTGTGAAACTTTGCGCCGACCAGTTTACCCCGAATCACACGTCCTACTGTAATTTGAAGACGGGAACTAGAACCTGAGCACCTGATTCCAAGTCTTGAGTTCTCTCTACTGTGCTCGCCTTGACTAGTCAGCTCCCAACTGGGAGCAGTTGCGAGAAGTTGGACGGATGGGGTGGTGAAGTGAGATGGGAGATGGTCTTATTAATGGACCGACTTGTCAGTGGGCGGGTCTCCGGGTGACTGGCCTTTCGAATGTCCATTGGTAATTTGATTTTCTGGTTTTGTTCTGGTAGGGAAGACAAGCTCTTTGGGGCTACCAAAACGAAGCAGCAATGCCTGTTGTGTGGCCAACCCTTTTGGATCTCAGCAGGGATGAATGCAAAAGGATTCTCCGAAAATTGGGTATGATTTTTATGTGATATCGTTTGCCTCTGTTCATTTTCTCTTTCGGTTGGCTCTTTGCATCGATACCGTTGCTCATGCTGACGTGGAAATTCTTTATAGATACACTTTCCTCTGTGTGTCACTGGTATTTCCCCAGTGCCTAACAGTAGGCTATGTTTAGTGTTTTATAAATAAACGGGTGTCTGAATAATAATAAGCAAGCCCGTGTTCTCCCTCGAACATGTATCTCTCTTACTTGTCTCTGTGTTTCATCGCTCGCCTGTTTCCACTCTGGAGAAGCCTGTGTTCTCTCTCAAACATGTACGTACTTCTCCCTTTCTCTCCTCTCACGTTTTTCTAAATAAGTTTCAATAAAAACTTTCTTGCTTCACACACAAAAATAATAGCAGCAGCTTGCTTGTGTGTGTTTTGGTCATACTGTGAGGTGCTCAGGACTTGCTCCTGTCTCTTCAAGGATGATTCCTGGTGGTTGGGGAACTGTATATAGCCACAAGCCAAGGGTGCAAGACGAGTACCCAGCCCTCCGTACTATCTCCTGGGCCCCTACTAAGAAGGGGTTCTGGGCGCTTCTGAGTTTTTCATATGCAGGATCTCTTTCAGTCCTTACCTCACTCAAACTGAAAAGAAAGAAGGGTTATTACTGGTTTTTTTTTTTTTTTTTTTTGGTCTACATTTTACAGATGACAGATCTGAAGCTTAGAACTCAGGGTAATGCCATGGTGTTAGAATTTCAACCCAGGAAATAGAACTCTAGTCTCATTTGACTCGATGAATTAATGAATACATTTGGGACCACACTCAGCGGTACTTGGGTGTACTGCTTCTCCTTGCAGGTACTGGAGGAAACGTGCTGGGGATCAGATGTGGGTCTCCCGCATGCAAAGAACTCTCAGTCGTTTGAGTTGCCTGTCCATTTCTTCTTTCCTCTCAACTCCCCTCTTCTCCCTTCCCTTCCCCTCCCCTCCTCCTCCCTTCCTCCAGCCTCACTTTAGTGTGCTTTAACTTTCATAAATAATTGCGTTGTATGTCTGAATTCTGAGTTAATAAAACCTATTCCAGTTTTGCTAGAATATATTTTGCTGTCAGCAATAAATTACCTTTCTGCTTGTTAGAAGTTATTTAGTGCTTCTTTCCCTCTAGGGCAGCCTTTCTCAACCTAGCAGTTAGGGAGTGGACTAAGCCCTAATGCTAAGGCCTACATTCTGTGTAATGAACTAACTTCTTAGGGATCTAGAATGTTACTATTTATGTAACTGTCCTTGAGGAAATTAACAAAAAGACTTACTTAAATTTTCTGGGCTGGGAAGATAGTATATATACTCTGCATCTGGGAGACCCAAGTTTGATCCCCGGAATCACTTGGTCCTGAGCATTGCCAGGCCCTGAGAGTTACTAGATATGTCCCCAACCCCCAACCCCTTCCTTTTAAAGTTTTTGTTTTCTGTGGTTCTATTGAGGACCCTTGGTTGAGAAATTTTGCCTTAGACTATAAGGTGCCAAAAAGGAGTCTGTTGCCTAATGTACAACCATATTCTCGAATTAGCTCATAGTAGGTCCTTTGTAAGTAAAAAAAATTGTTTGAAAAAGAATGTAAAATGTTTTGGCAAGATATATAAATCACTGCAGTACCTATAGTTGTTTTGTTTTGATTTTGGATCACGTCTGGCTGTGCTCAGGCCTTACTCTTGGTTCTTTGCTCAGGGATTGCTCCTGGCTGTGCACTGGATGTGTCACGTGCACAACAAGCACCTGTACCCCCTTCTATCTCTTTGACCCACCTCTATTTTTTTAATTATTTTTGTTTTGGAGGACCATACCCTGCAGTGCTAAGGGGTCAATCCTGCCTCTGAGTTCAGGGATCACTTCTCCTGGACTTGGGGGACTGTATGGGATACCAGTGATCAAAACTGGATCAGCTGCACGCAAGGCAAACACGTTACTTGCTGTACTAGCATCACTCTGGCCCCAGCGCCTCTGATTTTTAAAGGGGGAAGTATGGGCTTTGAATCCAGACAGACTTGGGTCTTTCTCTTACTAATATTGGTCTTACTAATATGTCAACTAAATAATTGACATATTATTTAAATTCACTGAATCATTAACACTTATAAATTAAGCATAACATTTGCCTCATCACTTTGTCATGTGGATTAACTTTATAAGAAGGCCTATCACATGGCCTGATATTTGAGTGTATAATGTTTCTAAGTAGTTGCTTTCAGATATTAATTTAGCTTTTCTTCAAAGGAAGTCTTGGGAATTCCTCTGTAAATCAGAAACTGAGGTGCCTAAGCTCAGCTTGCTAATAGCACTGCCTTTTGTTATTTTCCCTCCAAGCCACTGTGAGAATTTCTTATTTTATTTATTTATCTTCATATGGACATAATGTGTTTCCATAGTGTGGTCTTTAGATATCAGTTTGTGCTGAAGCAAACCAGACTTCTTAGATAAATAGATGATTCCGGGTTTGAGGTAATAAATTTATTAGATGGTGTGAAATATCTTGTCATCTCAAAAAGCAAAAAAGCCTCACAATAGATATAGGAATCAATTGAAAGACCCCATTCACCCAACACACACACACACACACACACACACACACACACACAGATTCTTTAAATCCAAAGATTATCTGAGCATCAAAAAAAAAAGTACAGTGGTAAGATTTTCTTATTTTAAACTGCTTAGTCTAGAGAGGGTTTCTTTTTGAATGTGTTGTTAATTTCTTTATTATTTTTTAAATAATTTGTCAAACTTATATCCAAATGTTACTAATAGTTTGAAAATGATCTTCTATATTACATGCAATTGCTGTAATTGGTAGCTTTAGTTAAAAATTAGGTTTATATTTATTTCATAACTGGTGTGATTGCAGAGGAACATACTGCATATACAATAGGTTTCTGATACAGTAGGTTTCTGATTTGGGGGGTTTTTGATCAAGAGATTATTTTTACATATAAAATAGTAATCTATTTTTGGTGACTTTTGGGCCATGCTGGATATGCACAGGGCTTCCTCTTGGCTCTGCACTCAGGAATCACTCCTGGTGGTGCTCAGGGACCATACGGGATGCTGGGGATCCCTGGGTGGGCTGCTTGCAAGGCAAACACCTTAACTGCTATACTATTGCTTCAGTCCCTAAAAAGTCACGATCACTATCCTCCCATTGATCATCTATTTGCTCCAGCGGGCCCAGTAACGTCTCCATCGTGAGACTTGTTGTTACTGTGTTTGGCATATCGAATACGTCACCAGGAGCTTGCCAGGCTCTGCCGTGCGGGCGAGATACTCTCGGTAGCTTGCTGGGCTCTCCGAGAGGGGCGGAGGAATTGAACTCCGGTCGGCCATGTTGGCTGTGTGCAAGGCAAACGCTCTACCTGCTGTGCTATCACTCCAGCCCACTTCTCGCATTCTTTCCCTAAAAAGTAATCTTTAATTTTAAGTTAATTCCTAATTTTACTCATAAATGTGTTGATAATCTTGCTGGGGAGATGATTTACAGTAGAAACCAGCCTTCTTAAGGGGTAATATAGTAAATGGCCCTTCACTTTGAAAGGTGTGCCTCAGTTTTGATTTGCAGAAAGACATCTTTCCCACCCACTGGTTTTATTGTCACAACAATGAAATCTTTACATTACTTTAGACTCTCTCTAGGCCCTAAGGAAGGTTAAAGAAGGTACTATATTTAAGAATTATCCTAAAATATTTGAAGAATTAGCTTTATCCCTTTAAAAAAAAAGGTTATCAGTCATATAAAAGTTAAACATCATTTAATGTAAGATACCAAACATTTAAAATAATCAGGACAGATAATTTTCCTATCATATACTAAACCATTATATAAATTGTGAATTATATTTGCTTTCCTCCTGTCTCTCCTAAACACTTTTTTGAAAAAAAATTCCTAAACTATAATCTAGCATTGGACTTTATGAACTGTAGTATAATTGAATGGCTGATTTAAATGAAATGGGTTAAGATCTTTATTAAAGTGGTTTGGTAAGTTTTGTTTTTAGCAGGGCTGGAGCGATAGCACAGCAGGTAGGGCGTTTTTCTTGCATGCGGATGACCCGGGTTTGATTCCCAGCATCCCATATGGTCTCCAAGCACTGCCAGGAGTAATTCCTGAGTGCATGAGCCAGGAGTAACCTCTGGGCATCACGAGGTGTGACCCAAAAAGCCAAGAAAAAACGTTTTGTTTTCTGCAGTGTTTGCATGTTTATTTCATTATTCTTATGTGTCATTAGAGTTAGTCCTAAAAACGAATGCCACCAAAAATAGTACCAGAGCTGGATAGTACGGGGCTTAAGCTGTATGTCTTGCATGGTCCTGGGTATCACATATTGTCGCTTAAGCACTGTACCAAGTAATCCTGGCGTATAGAGTCAGGAGTAATCCTTGAGCACAGCTGACCCGAAAACCAAAACCAAAAAACAAACAAAAAACCTAATGGGGACTGTGGAGATAGTTAGTTCAATGTGTCAAGTGCTTGCCTTATGGGACACTCAGTTTCGATCTTTGGTTTCCTGGTGCACTTCCAGGAGTAAATATAAAACCTGTCTTCTTTCCTTCTATCCCTGAATATATAGCTGGGATAAGTCCTGAGTTCTGCTGGGTTGGTCCAGCAACAACCCCATGAAACAAATTGCAAACAAAACTTAATGCCAGGGGCCAAAGAGTTAGTAGAAAGGTTAAGTCTTGTGCCTTACATCTGGCCATTCGCCTAGTTCTGTTCTTGGCACTATGTGGTCCCCTAAGCATTGCAGCCCTAGAGGTTCCCACCCCATCCCCAGTGCTATTGAATGCAGCCTTAGAGATACTTGAGTACTGCAGGCCTTGTTGATTGAAAATTGTTGGTGTGTGGGGTCACCCAGACAGACCTTCTGAGTAACATTTGGGAGGGCCTCCCAACCCCCAAACAAAAAGCCCCCAGAATTTAAGTTTGATATATGTCAGGCTCTAAGAATACTATCAGTATAGAAATCAAGTGTGAT